TGTTACGTGTTACGATAATTCTAAATTAAAGCATTTAATTTTTTTTACGAATAAAGTCCCTCAAATTGTTTTGCCAGTTAGTATAGAAAAAGTACCTACTTTCGTTCAAAACTATAGTTTATATAATGATTGTTATGTTCATAATTACCTTTATAATGTAATTTTTTTTAAATCAAATAAATATTTRTTAGTTACTAAAATATATTAATTTATAATTTTTTGGAGATGAGTGTTCAGTTTATGTGAACAATTTGGCATTAGAAGTTCTTTTCATCACACATTATGGTCAAAATTCAATAAACATGATAAATGTTTATCCTAAAATGTTGTTGTATGTTAAGATATATGTTTTATTACTCATAAACTTAATCTTAATTTTAATTTGACTTAATTTTCAATAGCTTATGGTTACATTCTATACTTCTATAGTTATCAAGCACTGTGGTATGGGTGGCCAAGGAAGGCTTTAGCTCTCTCTAAAAATAATCCAACTCACCCGCTAAAAAATCTAACATAACCCCACATGTTATTTTTATAATAGTTAAACTATTATTTTTAAATAATTATAAAAATTAAGAAATGCTTTATTTATTTATTAGTTCATTTATTAAGTAATTAGCATTAATAAGTAATTACTGAATAAAAACAAATATACGTACCCCAAATGGCTTAATTATTATCTAAAATTCAAATCAATCTAATTCATATTCTAATACTAAAAACAATAWTTTTAATTTATATTTATGAAACAAAAGTTAAAAGTAGTTCAATAATTCAATCATAAAGGACCATGTTATGTTTTCATCAATAAACGATGGCAGCAGAGGAGTAGTATTGTGCAAACAGATCCTCCTCTGCAGTCGGTTCTAACAGGAAAAAAAAGGGCATGTTATAAAACTAAAATTAAATAATTTAATGTGTACATCATTTCTAATGTAGTTGTTTGAAGTCTGTATTAAAATATTTCCTTATTTACATAAAACAAAACAGCCATTTAGCCATATAGGCATAGTATCAATCGTATTAAAACATTGTACAATGCATATAATAGACATATTGAGCACTTAGAATAAAAAAATTAAGCTACCGAGTATTATAAAATTTAAATGTGCGTGGTATATTATGTTAAAATAAATTAAATTATATAATTGAGTAATCACTGTTATTTTTGAAAAAGTAATGTATAAAATGTATCTGCTCAGCTCAGAATCCCCTGAAAAAAAGTTCTTGTTCCTATGTGCCATGCATTATAGTTTAGTACTGTATAGTGTAGATATATTACAAAAATTAATGTATTATTTTGAATATTCTGTTAATTAAACACAAAAGAAATTCATAGAACTCTCAATTTTTAATAAAATAAACTATATCAACTAATTATTTTATTATGATTGTTTCTGACTGTAGCATGAGAAAAGTCATTTGTGTTTAGTGCTGTATATTATGCATGTTTTCATACAAACTGTATAATATAAAATATATTTATTTTAGA